TCAGGTAGTTTAATACCGTTCTCTAATCTGCTCTCTTTTATATTGTTTGTTTAAAGGTCCCATCTGATAAACCATATTGCACTGTAGACTAATCAATTTCACCGTGGTTTTTTTTTTTAGCAATACAATAAACAAGACTATTGAAAATACAGATTGTCGTGCACAAACGATAACATAAAATGAATCAATGCAAAGAGGAATACTATTTCGTGCTTTTATTCCGTATTGTTGAATTATTTTATTATTCAATTCATTTATCAGCAGCATAGGTTTATTTCCATGTTAAAATTATTATCACAATATCAAGAAGTAAGACTTTATTCTTATCAAATGAAAAATTTTAACAAAGTCTCATAATTTTTAAAAAATTTATCATAGAACTTAAAGTCGTATTTAAAGATCGCAAACTTTACCTTTATCTGAAAGTTTCAATTAATCAATTAAATAGATTCTTCACTCAAATATTATCGGTATATTTGGCAGTTTATTTATTAGAGAAGCTCCAATGCTATAGATAATAGCAATGTATGAGATTATGTTATTTACAAAATAATGTATTAAAAATGACAAAGGCGAAGAAACTCAAAAATTTCACACAAGAAGATAAAGTCATAGAAAAACGGAAGTAATAATCATATCTCATTGTTTCTGTTCATAAAAATAATAAATTACACTTTGTATTTGAATAACTCAATTTTACTGTGCAACTATATATTCAAGAAGTGGGGTGAATCAGATGTGGATACTTAAAAAGAACTTTTGGACAATTTGAAATCACAAAAATCAACAGCTTGAAAACTTACGACTTTTCAACTTTATACACAGCAATTCCCCACAACAAATTAAAATCCAGGCTTTTTGATATCATTGATAGCTGCTTCTTCAATAAATATTGAACTCGTAAATTTACTTACCTCGTAATTAGTCATTTGCAAAATTATTTTGATAAGACAGATTCTGATTGCACACATAAGTAATCTGAAGTTGACATCAAGAAGATGCTTGAGTTTCTGATTGACAATATCTAAGTGGTTTTTGGAGACCATGCATTCTAACAATCTATTGGAATTTCAATGGGTACAAATTGCGCTCCGTTATTTGCAGACTTATTTTTCATATTCATATGAAGCAGAATTTATGCAAAATCTTATGCTGTTGCCTTCTACTCGACATTTGGATATATCGACGAAGTATTGTCAATTAATAATGATAATTTCCAATTCCTACGTCGATACGATATATCCTGGTGAGCTTGAGATAAAAGATACCACAGAGTCCGACACTTCTGCTTCATATTTGTATATTTTACTTGAAAAAGACACTAATGTTAATCTAACAACCAAGTTACGTGTATATGATAAACGTGATACCTTTAACTTTTCTATCGTCAACTTACTTACTTATGCTCAATATACCTTCCTCACCTGCATACGGAGTATATATATCTCAGTTGATTCGATACGCAAGAGCATGCTCTACGTATGAACAATTTTTTAAACGAGGTAAATTATTGATAAGCATGTTTACGAAACAAGAATATCAGCAGTCTCGTTTAAAGTCCTCATTTCTTAAGTTCTATGGTCGATACAATGACCTTGTCAGCAAATACAATTTATCATTGAGTCAAATGCTGACTGACGTTTTTCATACCGGTCGGCAAGGGATGCTAACTCCTCCATGGCACCTGATCCCACCTCTGATGTTTCGAGGGTCAGTGTTTGCTCTGCTCTTATTTTGTATATTGTTTTTAATGGACTTCGAGATTGAATACTGTTGTTATCTCCATATGCTTCATCAAATAGATTTTGATTGTAGGGTTGTCCGGTACATGTAAAATCGTGGACAAGTTATCTAGTGTGAGAAATAACCACCGTTCTCAAATTTTCACTACTCTTTGATCATTAAACCAAGTATATAGGAGCAAATTTCAAATAAATATATGCATGAATCATCAAATTATGAGACATTATGCTTTGTATTGCATCTCCCAACGGCGCACAGATGATAACGTCAAAGTGTCTAAAACAGCATTACGGTTTATCTTTGCTAAAAATAAGGATGGACAATCCCCACTTAAATTTAAAAATTTCATTGCTTCACATACTTGAGTCTCCATAAACAGTTGATGAACCTATATGGCATACACATCCGATCTTCTGAAGATTTATTGGTACGAATGTAAATTACGGACAGTTTCCTAACCATCACTTAATCAATACAGAATCTTATAAATATCGACAGTGTCAACGTCTTTTGCTATTACAATAACAGTTTGTTTGTATGTTTTGTATTACCAGGGGACTCGATCAAAAAGATTTCGCTAAGAAAACTCTCATTTTATCTTTATACTAAAGTGTTCGGTGATATATTTAACATTATTTTTTTCTTCTGTATTATTTTAGAATCTCTTAAATTGTTATTACAACATCTAAATGAAAATGAACTGCTCTCCGTTGCGCCGTGTTTTCCTCATATCTTTCTTATCCTCTGCTCCTATTTTTTTTTTTATTGTTTTATAGACTTTTGACCTTGAATACTTTTCATTATCATTCAATGTATTTGAAAAGAATTTCACAACTATTAAAAACTTTTCTCTGAGCTGTGATTTCCTTTGACTTAAAGAAACAAACAAATAAATTTGATAGTACATAAAAATATATCTTGTTTCGTATGATCATGTTGGACTATTGATTTCTAAATGATAAGGAAACCAACCATTAATGAACTGTTTACGACCGCATTATATTAAGGCTTTCTATATATTAAGTATCCGATCCATAATAGCCTCAGATTCAATGAATTTAAATGCATATCAGATATATATTGGCTGTATACTCAGTATATGGAGACATAATCTTCATGTTTTAGTCTCAATATGTAAGAGCGGAATGTGTCCTAATTTTTTACCTTGACCCGTCCTTGAAGAGTTATCCCTCTTTGCTTTTAATCAATAAAATTCATCTTTTTAAAAAATCTTTCAGGTGAAAAATTATTTTTTGATTTTCTATTCTTGATAATAATATGCATCTTTCAACCACAGCATTTTTTTTTAAATATTCATTGTATTTAAATTTTTATTTTCAAAAATGTGCTTGTTCCTATAATGCATTCTTAATTAATTAATGACAGCTCGGGTAATTGCATTTTTGAAAAATTTCTCCTGGTAAATCATTTTCTACTCTAAACTGCTTTGAATTACTGAGTACATGTATTTGATACAGGATGGATATTTAAGGGAAGAAAATTATATCCTTTTATGGATCGGATTTAAGATTTATTTTCCTCATTTTAAAGAAACATATGCATTGCCATATTTTAGTGTATTACTTTTAAAGTTATATTTTTTCGCAGTAATCTTTTGTTAGAAGTGGAACTTTTTTTTTAAACCCTGGGGAAGAGTACCTGTTAATGTGGGGCTGTGTGGATTTTAGTCATTTTCTCTTTCTTGGATGAAACACAAATGCAATGAAAAGGCCAGTAACCCCGGATACGCTGATTGGAGTATGTAAAATAGAATGACCTATCTAAAAACACATCATTAAGTACAGGGAGAGGACTTTAAAGGACATGATAGGGTAAGGTCATAATTTGGCCCCTCATCAATTGTGTTCATATTTATATCAAATAAACCACTGAACTTACCTTTAAAGAAAAAAAAATGTTTTACCGCTCTAGCTTTTTTTAGGTTGCTAAGCAACACAAAAGACTTAGCAACATTTTTGACAGATTTTATGCGTTTGCAGAGAGAATACATCAATAAATAATCGCAATTAAAACAATGGTACATGTGTATAAGTAGATAAATCTATTACCGTATACATGTAACACAATCAGACAGATATAAATCTTTTTTACGGCATATATATAAATATATGTCTTACGTAGCAACCAATTGTATCCCTAGCAACAAGAATCTTTATAATGTATAAAAGCATAACATGGGTTGAGTATATGTGTTGGGTAATAAAAATCAAGATTTAAAACAATTCATATGATACTTATATTCAGGGTTTATGAGTGTCAAGAATCAAATTATTATATCCTAAATTAATTTGTCACTTTAACAAAAAATATATTTGCACTGCACCAGGTCTTTACTAAATAAACCTATTTGCTGCTTCACTCTTCTAATGAAGAGTGAACCTCTTCTTCGTTCTCGGCATCACTATCACTGTCAGTCTGAGGTAGATCCTCTGCATTCAAAACATTGTCAACCATGTGTGCCTTTGGAATGGTTCTGTTCACGTGTCGTTTGTACCCCAAATACCACAAAACGCTTGCTACATGCGCACAAGTACCAACGACACGGGCACCAGATTTGCAAGTACAATACCACCCTGTTATGGTTGAATTTTCAGGTGAGTATTGTATCCATAAATTGTGTATGATGTGGTTTGAATACCTGGACTGTATCTTTACTCGAAACAAATCTGGTAAATCTTTACAGAAAAGAATAGAATAGAGTCCATCATCTGCTATGTGCTCAGCGGTGTAATGTTGGGCCTGCTTTAACTGGTATATGCCAAATGTAATCTGTCGAAGATCATCTAGTGATAATTTTGGAAAATTGTCTAGAGTCTCATTTTCTTCAGTGATATTGATGTATGTATTTCTCTTTCTTATCAAATTGTTTTCCTCTACTAATGCCTTGACATGATTTCCAAACTTTGATCTCTCCAACATTTATTTGGCAATGCTTTCCCCCTCTGGATTATGGTTGGATAGTGGCGGTCTGAAGTTGTTGCAGAGTGAGCAAACTATTCGCACAAAGTCACCTATTGAACTAACATAATGGTTTGATATAACTTTATCCAAGAGTTTCTAATTTTTTATTCTGCCATTGACACTTTCCACTACCCAGCGCACTTTTGTGATCAACCGGGAAAGATTTGCCTCTTCTGTGCAATGTTGATTTGATCCTTTCCTTAGAAAGCATGGCATTTCCACTTGTAAGCCGCAGCTCGTTAAGAAATCCACAGAATCACGGAATCCGCGATCCACTACACATACATCGTCAGAAGTGATCCAATCAGAGAGATTTTCGGCATTTGTTTTGAATGCATGTTTTGTGATGCTTGAATCACTGTTTTTGGAATCTGTCTGTAAGGCCCTAGCACACTTAAAATGTAACCATCGGATCCAGCAATAACCATCATTTTTACAAGTGGCCGATATTTGTACAAGCTATATGAAACTCTTTGAAAATGATAGTCTGAACTCTTTTGAATGTACAAATATGTACCATCCATTATCAGCACTGCAGAATTAGAAGTTCCAGATGTAAAAAGAGTTTTAGCTAGAGGGATTGTATGTTGTTGTGCAAAGGTATCATGATCAATGTGTTGAAATCCAAGGTTTTTTGGAACATAATCCTGAATCAAAGCATTCTTGGCAGCATGGATAGACCTTTGTATTTGTGATTTCTTTAGAGAAAACAATACGGCCAGAAGATTATTTGATAAACCAGTGCGAAGTTTTACAAGCAAGATTGCAAGGCAGGTTCGTTTAGACCGGACAGATGTATTTCTGAGAGAGGTAAGAGATGACAGGACTTCAAAAAATTGATTCTTAGACAGACCTGTAAAGTAGTAATAATCTTCATCTGACAATGATAATGGATTTTCAAAGTCTAATCGAGCTTTTAATAACATTGATTGTCTCATCCTCTGAAGAAGGTCAGCAACGTCTGTCCTGTTGAGATAAGTCTCGTCATTCGTTCCTTCAATCTGTGACATTGCAGTTTGGGTGAGTATGTCATTCAGAAAATGAGACTTACAAGATCTAGAATTTTCATCCACATATATTCCTTTTTCAAGGAAGATGTTGGTTCTTGCCTGTAAAGGCACAACTCGCATGCGATTTGCTGATTTTTTACACACAATACAATATTTGTGTGATTTTGACGTGCTTGAAAATTGAAGTTTGACCGATTTTGGACTGACTTGTTCATCAGGTTTATTTACGGTACACTGCAATTTTACTCTTTTAGATATGTAGAATTCCCTTGAACAGCTCAAACAAGTGACATCGTCTTCTGTGGCTCTTCGAACCAGAAGTTTTGACAAGTATTTTCGGAAGTGGCCCGAATTTACAAAACGTCGATTGTTAGGCTTGCACCTTCTGTTGCAAGTACAACACTTGTAGAATTTAGCCATTTGTGCCTGAAATAATAAAAAGTTTTACCCTAATCTCATAATTTATACATATATAGCACAATTAAGTTCATCACAGCACAAAACATTTATTATGTCGCTATGATTTTTCAAATACTAGTGCACGAATACTGAATACAAATGATATAATTTCAATAATACATTTATTATTTTAATTCATTAACATACAGGGTGTTTCAACAAACATGTCCCGATTTTTGATGCCTATCAATGATTTTTGCACAATGATAAAATATCTAAAAAAATTATAACTGTATTTTAAAGCCCATTTTCTTGCAATATCATTGTGATATGAACTATATAAAATAAAGTCATTACTTTTTTCCATTTATGTTTTAATTACATTTTCAAAAAAGAGCTTGTGAGGGTTTTTTTCCTTCAGAATTGGATCTAAGGATTTTTTTAATTATACAATTCAAGCAGAAAATCAAATTATCTCCAAAATCATCAATATTAGTGCACAAGATTTTGGAAAAAAAGTACTACAAAAAAAATTATATTACTGTAATATAAAAACCATCTTTCTAGGGAACAGACTTTTCATTAAAAATATCCAAATCTATGTCATAAAGGACTTCAGAGACAAAATGAGGATGGTGACTGAAAATTTTGTGACTTTTTAGAATACAAAAAAGACGTTAATTAGAAAACTGTTACCGATGTTCAAACTTTTAAAATGTCTGTCTTAAAAAATAATTGAAACATATAATTACATTGTACTTCAACTTTCATATTGATAAAATTGTTTGGTTATACGGTTTTCATTTTTGCAAAAAAAATATTAATAATTCGTTAATACTGTCTAAATTTACATTGAAACGCAAAGTCTGGACATGTTTGCTGAAACACCCTGTGTTTTTTTTTTCATTCATCAAACCGTAACGGTTTGTCATTCCTAATAATAATGTATTTATTTTTTATTTATTTAATTTATCATTTATATATTTGTTTTTATTTATTTATCTATTCTTTCTTTATTTAATATGTTATTAAGACCTCATTTGTCTTGTGTGTATTTACTTCAATGACTAATCTTTGTTACATTTTTTGTTGTTTTCGTTTCACCCTCTGTTTACGTTTTTAAAGTTCTTCCCCTTTGTTTCATTCTGTCCTAGCTAGTTTACGGGATATATAAAGGAAGATTCCGGATTATGCTTAATTAATTAATTTTAGTGGTAATAGATGGTGATTGCTTCCGAAAAAAAGAAGAGCATTTTCGCATATGATCACACAACCGTGACACGATAACCTGCATATGTAACTAAGTATATATGCATCTCTAACAACGTCACACCGATGGATGCAGGTCGAAAGTGAAAGTACACGATGATAAGAAGTTTACACAACACATACATTCTACAATTTATACATCAGAACAATCATATTGATAAAGAAAATTCAAATGTGATAAAGCTTCGGTTTATAAGAATTGATATTTCCATTAAAAAGAACCACAACACAACACAAAACTGGAACATGATTGTGATTATATACATGATGTATTCATGGAACAGCTAATATCCCAGTTGTCACATATTTTGTTTTTCTGTTTAACTCCATCAATTTGAGGTGGGAAAAAAACTGAAATATTTTTATAAAATTGTAGATGTATAAATATATACTTACATTATTGGATTTTTGCACATTTCTTCTTTTTTCTATATTTTTGAGCAGACGTGCGTTCGTATTCCTATCCCGATTGCAATTTTTGTGACATTTCCAACACTTATTTTTTTCTAAAAAACATAGAGCACAGCATTGCCTATTTCTGATATTTGCACAAAATATTAATTTTATCAATTGTTTTTATTGTGCAAAGTTTCACAGATAGGCAAGCGTGTGCTCATAGTTTATTTCACTTATGTACGCTGTAGAATCTAGGTAAAATGGCTAAAATGCAGAAGTCAATGATACTTCATAGTGCAAAATAGTAGCATAACGTACAGCATTTTGAAATTACATTTTATGCTGTATTAGTGCATATAATATTGATTAAAAATAACCCACAAAATATGTGTTTCCTTTCCATTTTAATTTAATTAAATAAGGGGGGCCATCAGTCAACCGTAACCCTATCTTGTCCTTTCCTTTTGTTTAATGACCAATAATACATGCAACAAGAATATTGATGAAAGTCAAAATAATTCAAGTTGAATGTATGTATGTAATGCTTTGTTGAAAAAAGTTAATTATTTTATATCAGTCATTAAATCATCTTTAAATCAAGCCTCGAACTTCTATGCTTCCATACCACAATTGTTAATTTGATATATTCTATGTTTCCTTTTGATTTATAAATTGGATGCAAGACTTTGAGAAAATAAAATTTTGCACTTTGAAACATAAAACGAGAATATTTAAATATAACTAGTTATAGAAGACTAAAATAGACTATAGGTGATTATATTATAGTAATTAATAGTTTACTACAGTACTTTTTATTAGGGCTAGGGTGAACATTCTAAAGACCTGTGACATTTATGTAAAGAGAATAGCGATTTCTCTTACTCACAATGTGCATATTTTCCCTTTACGCAAAAATATAACTGGACTATGCTTGCATTTTCTTTTAAAAAATAGATTCACATCAGATATTTGTTTACTAATTATCATAAATGGATTCTTGATACCATATCTAAAACATTAAAAGAAGTTAGGATCAGGAGAGAAGTAATAGACACTACAGAGGTTGTAAATAAACCGCTCCACATAATGAATGGATTAGATAGAATGAGAAGTGATAGTAAACGTGAGGGATTCAGACTGAGTACTTCAGATGATGATTTCATGCTGTGGCCTCCAGACCACAAGGTCATATGTGATCTCTCTCAGGTCGAACACTATCATAATCTAAAGAACACGCTTATTCTGATGGAATGTGATGATATTCCACCGGGATTTACCAGACTTAATCTCATCACCATATCCAGAAATGGAAATATTAGACACTCCCGTAAAGTGATCGATAACAAAGTCTACCTTTCTAGTATATTGTTCCGCAATAGTTATCTGCGTTTGCTGCATACCAGTTCTGTTGCCACCTCTTCCTCCGTTTCACACGGACCTTGCTCTACATTTGTCATAACGAAAGATACAGAAGCAGATGCAGACTTTGCCTACTGTTTCCATTCAAATCATTGGCCAATATAAGGACTACAAAAGATAGACAGATATCGTCAACAAGGCTGGCCCTCTGAGATTGTCGTATCTGAAATATTAAGATCAGGACACCATCTTGTCCCTATCGGCAGCAAACCAGAAAATGGGCTAGAATGGAGAATCTCATTCTCTCAGGCAGAACAAAAAGTTATCTACTCCATGAATCACTGTCAGTTTTTGTGCTATGGTCTCCTTAAAACGTTCCTAAAAGAATTAATTAACTTTCAAAATAATACTCCCGTCCTTTGTTCATCCTTTACAAAAACAATTTTGTTTTGGGTAAATCAGACTAATCATTCCTTGCCCTGGACACCTGATAACATATTGTCTTGTTTCTGGGAATGTTTTAAGTTATTGATATACTGTGTATACACCGAAGAATGTCCAAACTTTTTTAATCCACAAAACAACATGTTTCGACAGAAGGTGACTGGATCTGTGCAAGCTTCGTTGTTCGGACAGTTGCATGATTTGTATTGCAAGGGGATGTCATGTTTACTTTTGAGTGAAACAATAAGGTCATACCTTAGTCACGTTATTTTACAAAGAACACTGAGATTTTGCACAGACGAGAGCAGTATAATATCTAACACGGATTTAGATATTATATTATTTGGAGAATTTAGAATGGCAACGCTAAAAATTGGTAATTTATATCAATTTGTAGTCTCCTAGAAACAATTAGAAAGAGTTATTATGAAAACGATGACTTCATATCGCGAAGTTACATTGCAATGGATAACATCCACTTTGTTCAGGAACAGTGCAGTATTAATACGGAATATAAAAGGTCCAAGCGGGAATCGCAAATATGTTTGCTTCAGTTCCAAGATATCAGGACTGCTAAAACTGTCGAGTAAATTTGGTTGTATATCTGACATTCTATATCTTGCTATGTATTACTATAGAACATATAGGTATGAGTATAACTCAGTTGTTTAAAGAAGGCAGAGGAGAGTATGTTAGTACCGTATGATATGTATAATGGTCTTGTAGATAAAAATGAATACAGGCGCTATATGGAAGGTGTCCCTCTGGGGATTGAATTAAGGAAAGCACTAGCTGAAGATATTGAGCTTCACTGTGAGGATGAGTACATCCTGGAACTTGTGGAAAAGCAGAAGACGAGTCAGAAAAATGGCATGCTTAAATTATATATCCCATCTCTAGTGATGTTACACATGTTGTTAATTCTGAATCACAACAAACTGGGTGATACAGACAGGTGCAATCACTACCTAATGGATAGTAGGACTAATCTACTCTTATGCGATAGGTTTGTTATTCCTATGCATTTAATGGATATTTCATGGCAAATAATGGCAATCTGCCAACAAACGTGTGGAAAATATTCGGAAGCTGTAGAGTCATACCAATATTCGTTGAAACAAATACCGACCCACAAGATTCAGGAAGCAACTCTATCAAAAATGAAAACATGTTCACCTTAAATGATATTATTCTGTTCAAAGTTGTGAAAGCTGTCAAAGTGTTGGCGCATCGGTGCTTCAAAAGAAACTTGC